CTTTCATGGGGAAACCAACCACCATGTCATGAGGACACTCAAGCAGCCCTAATGGAAAGGTCTGAATGGCAAGGAACTCAATCCTCTTGCCAGAAGCCAGCACCAGCCTGCCCGCCATGTGGGTGAGCCGAGTACATCCTTCAATCCCAGGCAAGCCTTTGGGTGACTGGCTGACATTTTTTTTAACCTAAGTATTTTATTTAATTTTTTTTATTTCTGTGGGTACATAGTAGGTATATATATTTATGGGGTACCGTGAGATGTCTGGATGCAGGCATGTCATGTGAAATAACCACATCATGGAAAATGGGGTACCTATCCCTTCAAACATTTATCCTTTGTGTTGCAACAATCCAGTTACACTCTCTGAGTTATTTTAAAATGTACAATTAAATTATTAGGCCAGGTGTGGTGGCTCACGCCTGTAATCCCAGCACTTTGGGAGGCCGAGGCGGGTCGATCATCTGAGGTCAGGAGTTTGAGACCAGCCTAGCCAACATGGTGAAATCCCATCTCTACTGCAAATACAAAAAAATTAGCTGGGCATGGTGGCGCGTGCCTGTAGTCCCAGCTATTCAGAAGGCTGAGGCAGGAGAATCGCTTGAACCCGGGAGATGGTGGTTGCAGGTGAGATCGCACCACTGCATTTCAGCCTGGGTGACAGCAAGACTCCAACTCAAAAAAAAAATTAAATTAAATCAAAAATAAAAAAGCTAAAATGCAACAACAATTTAAATATACATATTATTCAGATAGATAGATAGAGAGATAGAGAGATAGATAGATAGATAGATAGATAGATAGATAGATAGACAGACAGACATAATTGACCATAGTCACACCCTGTTGTGCCATCAAATACTAGGTCTTATTCATTCATTCATTCACTTTTTTTTTTTTTGAGACAGGGTCTCACTCTGTCACCCAGGCTGGAGTGCAGTGGTATGATCTCAGCTCACTGTAACCTTGATCTCCAGGCTCAAGCCATCCTCCCACCTCAACCTCCCAAGTAGCTGGGACTACAGACATGTGCCACCATACCTGGCTAATTTTTGTGTGTGGCTGAGGGGAAGAGACGGGATTTTGCCATGTTGCCCAGGCTGTCATTCTTTCTTTCTAGCTTTTTTTTTTTTTTTGTACCCATGACTACAACTTCATGAGCCAGAACCGCTCAGTTAAGCTGCTTCCAATTCCTGGCCCACAGAAACCAAGTAGGGTAATAAATAGTATTGTTTAAAGCCATTAAGTTTTGGGGTAATTTGTCACATAGGATTCAATAAACTAATATGAACACTACCAGTATAGTAGCTAATATTTATTAAGCATGTATTCTATCACTTACTATTCCTACCCCTGTAACTACTAGCAGGGAAGTGGTCCGATCTCCTCCATTTGCCCGTCTGGAGCACTTCCCCAGCCTGCTCTGTGCCCAAGGAGACTCAGCTGTTCAGACTCAACAGCCTTCCATATCCTCTGGCTTTGAATCTGGTTTGGCCAAGGAGGAGCCTCCGGGAGGAGACTAAAGGGAGAAGGTGCAGTGACTCAGGATATTTATGCATCTGCTTCCTCCTGAAGGGCACCTCAGGCTGGCTGTGTCCCTTAACAGAAGGTAACAACTTTTTTTCTTTTTCTTTTTTTTTTCTTTTTTTTTAAGACAGAGTCTTGCTCTGTCACTCAGGCTGGAGTGTAGTGGTGCAACCTTGGCTCATTGCAACTTCCACCTCCTAGGTTCAAGCGATTCTCCCGTCTCAGCCTTCTGAATAGCTGGGACTACAGGCGCATGCCACCACGCCCGGCTAATTTTGTATTTTCAGTAGAGACAGGGTTTCACCATGTTGGTCAGGCTGGTCTCGAAGTCCTGATGTCGAGTGATCCGCCCACCTTGGCCTCCCAGAGTGCTGAGATTACAGGCATGAGCCACCTCATCAGGCCAACAGCTTCTCTTAAAGTGACCCTCTCCACATAACTTTCTGGCTAGTGGGAACTGCTCTCGCCATGCCTAAGGAGGTAACAGCCCTCCCATTATAACCAATATTTATTGGTTATAATGGGAGGGCTATCCCCTGCGATTTCTGTACACCCTGTCCACATCTAAATGATCCCTTTAGTCAGCCTTCCTTAAGTCACCCAATTTGAGCATGCCATCTGTTTCCCTCTGGGACTGATGGCCACCCCAATTTAGGAACCCCTATCTAGCCAGTCGCAGTGGCTCATGCCTGTAACCCCAGCACTTTGGGAGGCTGAAGCAGAAGGATCCCTTGAGCCCAGGGGTTTGAGGCCAGCCTGGGCAATATAGAGAGATCCCATCTCTACAAAACATAAACAAAATTAGTTGGGCGTGGTGGCAACTTCCTGTAGTCCCATCTACTCTGGAGGCTGAAGTAAGAGGATCGATGGAGCCCAGGAGGTAGAGGCTGCAGTGAGCTAACAGGAAAAAAAAAAAAAAAAAAGGAGAACCCCTACTTTAGAGAAGAAAATGGAAATTCAAAGAGGAGCAAATGGGAAACCAACAGGGGCCACCTGGGGGTGTGCTCAGCAGCCAATAGGCACTAGTGGATGCTTGATAAATATCTGAATTAATGAGTGAACGAATGACTTGGTGGCACTGGGAAGGACCCACCTGCCCTTACCATAGGTGCTGGAACAGCAGGTAAGTATCTGAACTACTTCAGCCAGACAATGGTGACCAGTTCCCTCGCCCAGTCCAGAGTCTAAGCTTCAGGAAGTTTTGCATTGGAAGGATTAACACACAGCCCGGGACACCCAGGAAGCAGCCCCCAAGCTCAGTGAGAGACTCAAGAGTTATTTTTGAAAAGCAAGCAAGGCCTGCAGGCGGCCCTGGCAGAGGCAGAGCGCAGAGCTGGAAAGAAGAGCCAGGAGCAGAGAGAGAACAGACAGCTACCACAGAACCCACGCCCCATGCCTGTGACGTGGGCCCCACGCATGGTGACATAACATGGTGGCAGAGGCGGGGAGGCGTCCTGTGACCCCTTGGGAATTTTAATTGTGGTAAAATATACATCACATAAAATGCATCCTTAGGAGTTTTTACCGCTCCTGCCCCAGGCCAAATGACATTGAGGACTGGGTTCCCACACGAACAGGGAGTGGGAACACCAGCCAAACACATTTGCATCCAAATGGTGTGTGAGCTTTTGCTCAAGTCTGGGAAAATCCTGGAATTGGAGGGAGGGTCATTGCTCTGAGGCAAAATTGGGGGTTGAGGATTAGGACACAGATGACAAAATTAAAATTAGCGGTGCATGGTGGCGCATGCCTATAGTCCCAGCTACTCGGGAGGCTGAGGCAGGAGAATCGCGTGAACCTGGGGGATGGCAGTTGCAGTGAGCGGAGATCGCGCCACTGCACTCCAGCCTGAGCAACAGAGTGAGACTCCATCTCAAAAAATAAAAAATTAAAATGGTAATAAAAAAGAAACAGGTAGCAGCCTCTATCCCTGCAAAATAGTGGGGTGGCAGGAGTGGCTGTGGGGTCCGGAAGGAGGGGAGCAGATGCTGGCCCGCGAGGTAGGGCTGGGAACTGCAGGGCACAGAAAGCAGCAGCCGAGCAGCAGAATGCAGCTAATGAGCCGTGCAGGTGAAGGGAGAGGTGTCTGCAATGGGCCGGAGGTCACAGGCAGCCAGAGGGAGCCATCAAGGCCCCAAAATAGCTCCTGCTTCTGCAGGAGAAACTGGAACTAATCAAGGTGGGAATAATCCGAAAATCCCTCAGACAGGGGCTGCTAAGAGGCCTTGTGTCTCCAAGCAGGGATTAGAAGGGAAGAAAATAAACAAAAGATGTGGTTTGTCCTGGAAAACGGTGCCAACATGAAAGCAAGGTCTTCCTAGGGCCTTGGTCAGAGGATCACCAGTAGCTAATATCTATTGAGCACCTACTATTATATGCTTGATGCTGTCGCATATGGCTAAGCATGTGAGCTCTGAAGTCAGCCTGCCTGAACTGGAATTCCTGCTCTACCTCCTGCTAGCTGTGTGACCTCGGAAGAGTTATTTCCCCATTCTGAGCCTCAGTTTCCTTATCTAGAAAATGGGGATAAAATTCATACCTGCCCCACAGGGGAGTTGAGAATAAGTGCTTGATGCATGTGAACTTTTATTATAATAGAAATCTTTCCAGGGGCCAGGCGCGGTGGTTTACACCTGTAATCCCAGCACTTTGGGAGGCCGAGGTGAGTGGATCACCTGAGGTCAGGAGTTGGAGACCAGCCTGGCCAACATGGCAAAACCCCATCTCTACTAAAAATACAAAAATTAGGCCAGGTGCGGTGGCTCATGCCTGTAATCCCACCACTTTGCGAGGCCGAGGCGGTCGGATCACCTAAGGTGGGGAGTTCAAGACCAGCCTGACCAACATGGAGAAACCCCATCTCTACTAAAAATACAAAATTAGCTGGATGTGGTGGCACGGGCCTGTAAATCCCAGCTACTAGGGAGGCTGAGGCAGGAGACTCACTTGAACCTGGGAGGCGGAGATTGCGGTGAGCTGAGATGGCGCCACTGCACTCCAACCTGGGCAACAAGAGCGAAAGTCTGTCTCAAAAAACATAAATAAAAATACAAAAATTAGCCAGGCGTGGTGGCAGGTGCCGGTAGTCCCAGCTACTTGGGAGGCTGAGACAGGAGAATTGCTTGAACCCAGGAGACGGCGGTTGCAGCGAGCTGAGATTCCAGCCTGGGTGACAGAGAGAGACTCTGTCTCAAGAAACAAAACAAAACAAAACAAATATTTCCAGCAATGCTTGGGGCAGAGGGTTAGGTTTTGTCTACTCATTCTACAGGGTAGTGAACCAAGGCTCAGAGAGCCCAAGGTCACATGGCTAATAAGTGAAAGTGTAAGAATGGTGAACCATGTGAGTCTAAGTCAGAAGTTTGTGTATTCACTAGCCTGGGCCACCCTGGTCGCTCCTCAATGGGCAGGGAGGAAGGCAGTGGCCCACAGGCAGGGCCCAGCCCTTCACCTGCTTCCTTTCTCTAGGCCCCATGCAGGGGCAGATACAGCATGCACGTGGGAAACAGCCTCTGGGTGAGACATGTGCAGTGGAGAGGGAAGAGCACTGCCCTTGAGCGTGGAAACTTGGCTGAGTTCTTTCCTCTCTCTGGGTCTCAGTTTCCCCAGTTGCAGAACAAGTGGTGGTAACAGGTGACTCGAGTCCTGGAGAGTCTAGATTCTTGCTCCCTGGTTCTCTGGTGAGTGTCCGGTGTGGGCGGCAGTGAAAAGAGGACAAGAGAGGGACCTGGGCCGCTGCCAGGCGGTCTCCCCTTTGTCACTTCCCTCCCTTCCCCTGGTGAATAGTTCCACGCAGAGGGAACAGCAAAAGCAAAGGTCGGGAAATGAGAGCGAGCATGGCATGTTCAGGTAGCTCAGATAGAATAATCCAGTCACCCGGTTTATTCATTTATTCAAATATTTAATCAACGTTTAGTAACCTCGTTTACTCATTTGATTACTCAACCAGCATTTATCACTGTGTGCCAGGCAGTGTTGGAGTACCGGGGATACAGGGGTGAACAAAACAGACAAAACCACCATCTTCACGGGGCTCATTCTTTTTTTTTTTTTTTTTTTTTTTTTGAGATGGGATCTCGCTCTGTCACCCAGGCTGGAGTTCTATGGTGCGATCTCAGCTCACTGCAGCCTCCACCTCCTGGGTTCAAGTGATTCTCCTGCTTCAGCCTCCTGAGTAGCTGTGATTCAGGCGCCTGCCACCACACCCGGATAATTTTTTCTATTTTTAGTAGAGACAGGGTTTCGCCGTGTTGACCAGGCTGGTCTCAAACTTCTGGCCTCAAGTGATCCACCCGCCTTGGCCTCCCAAAGTGCTGGGATTACTGGCATGAGTCACCCCACTCAGTCTCATGGGGCTCATTTTAATTGGGGGAGACGGAAAAACCAAGTAAACAAATCAATACCGAGGATCATTTCAGCATGGAATAAGCATTTACATGAATAAAAGCTAACATGTATAAAGCATCTGCTATGGGTCAGGCATTGCCAACAGATGTTAAATAATTTGATCCTTGCTACCACCTGATGAGGCTGTAATCACCACCCCCACTTTACAGCTGAGGAAATTGTGGCTTAACAGAGGAGTTAAGTAACCTGCCCAATGCCACACAGCATTGGAGCAGGTGGAGCTGTGATTCAAATCCAGGCCATCTGGCACCATTGTGCCGGCTGGTGAGGAGAGCACTAAATAGGGCAACTTGTCCAGGGAAGAGCCCTCTAAAGAGGTGACGTTTGAGCCAGGACAAATGAGAAGACATCTGCCATGCAAAATCCAGGAGGCAGAAGATTCCAGATTGAGTGCAAAGGCCCTGAGGCGAGTAGGGGCTTCACAGGTTAGGAGAAGAGCAAGGAGGTCAGTTTTAGCTTGAGGAGAGGATAGTAGAGGTCAGAGCGGCGCGCAGGGCAGACACGTGGGGTTGGGAAGGAGCCTCGTCTGTCCTCCTCAAGGAGGCCCAGGGGACATTCCCAGGATCCTCCCGGCAGGTCTGAGGGACGCTGGGGAAGCAGGGCCTAAAGTCGTACTGACAGGCGTGGCTCCCCTCTTCTCCCCTATCAGGCCGATGAGGTGCGGGCAAAGCTGACCTTCCCCGGGACCCATTGCTGGAAAATGAGTGCAGCCGGAACCTGCTGTGTATCCTCAGCCAGCACCACCCACAGGTGGCCCCTCCCTGACTGATGGGGACATGGAAAGGCCCATCTCATTCTTCCCTCTTCAACCTAAATCCACATCCTCCCTGGCCCTGTACCTCCCATAGAGCCACAAATGAGGGTCTCCCATTCTCCAGTGGAGGCTGGACCACCTAGCTCCTGCCCTAGGGTGCCCCGCCAAGGCCTGAGTCCAGTCCCAGCCCAGTGAGGGAATGGAGTGTTCCCCAGCTTGCTCTCAGATGGTCTGAGAGTCAAGAGTCTGGCCTTAGGGAGAAATCTCGGGGGGCTGGAAAGGGGTCCACGTTCCTAGTCATATAGACCTAAATGAGAGTCCAGACTCTACCGCCGTGTGGTTTTGGGAAAGTGGCTTCACCTAAGTCTCAGTTTCATCATCTGAAAAATGGGAATAATCACGCTCTCTACCTCATAGGGTCACTGTGAAAATTAAATATAACATGGCTGAGAGGAGGCTCCCTGGGGCTGGAAATGTTCTGTATCTTTACCCGGGAGGTGATATATAAAATTCAATGATGTACACTGTAGGCTGGGCACGGTAGCTCATGCCTATAATCCCAGCACTTCGGGAGGCCAAGGCGGGTGGATGACTTGAGCTCAGGAGTTCGAGACGAGCCTGGCCAACATAGCAAAACCCCATCTCTAATAAAATACAAAAATTAGCCAGGTGTGGTGGCACACGCCTGTAATCCCAGCTACTCGGGAGGCTGAGGCAGCAGAATCGCTTGAGCCTGGGAGGTGGAGGTTGCAGCAAGCCAGGATCATGCTACTGCCCTCCAGCCTGGGCAACTCTGTTGGAATCTTACTCTTGAGATTCCGTCTCAAAAATCATACCACCACCACCATAGATCTATGCATTTTACCGTATGCATGTTATAACTCAATTTTTTTTAAATGCAAAGTGCCTGACCCATGGCTAGCACCACATAAATGTTAGGTAGTATTAGCATAAAGTGTTCTATAAATATTTATTGAATATATTTGTTCAATAAGCCCTTGTAAGTACCCTTCCATGTTTTGTTTATCATTCATTTGATTCCCAGGGCTCCTGGGGCCTGGATGCCTAAGGGAGCTCAAACTCAGTATGTCCACGACTGAATGATTTCCTTCACCTCATTCTTGCTCCTCCCCAGGCTTCTCTAACTGCCCAGTGGCTCAACCCAGAAATGTGGATGACACCCTGCCTGCCTTTTTCTGCTCTTGTTCTCTCCAACACCTTACAGTCAACTTATTACCAAGACTTCCTGTAGTAGACTCTCTCCAAAGACGGCCCCCAACCATTCCCCCGACCACCCTGTAAGGGCATGCTGACCTCCCATCAAGAGGTAGAGCTTGAGGTTGGGCACAGTGGCTCACACCTGTAATCTCAGCACTTTGGGAGGCTGAGGCAGGCAGATCACCTGAGGTTAGGAATTTGAGACCAGCCTGGCCAACATGGTGAAACCCCGTCTCTACTGGAAGTACAAAAACTACCCAGGAGTGGTGGCACACGCCAGTGGTCCCAGGTACTTGGGGGACTGAGGCAAAAGAGTCACTTGAACCGGGAGGCGGAGCTTGCAGTGAGTCAGATTGTACCACCATACTCCAGCCTGGGCGACAGAGTAAGACTCTGTCTCAAAAACAAAAAAAAGAAGGAGAGATTGGCCAGGTGCAGCAGTTCACACCTGTAATCCCGGCACTTTGGGAGGCTGAAGCGGGAGGAGTGCTTGAGGCCAGGAGTTCTAGCCTGGGAGACATAGTAAGACCTCATATCTACAAAAAAAAAAAAAAAAAGAAGAAAAAAAAGAGGTAGAGCTTAAGCTGGGTGAAGCGGCTTGTGCCTCTAATCCCAGCTACTTGGGAGGCTGAGAGAGGATGACTTGAGCCTGGGAGGTGGAGGTTGCAGTAAGCCGAGATGGCGCCACTGTACTCCAGCCTGGTTGACAGAGCGAGACAGAGTGACACCCTGTAGCCAAAGCATTGGAGTGGCTTGCAGCCCAGACCCTGTGCTTTCCAAAGCCAGATACACTGTCATATCGTTTGGCATCCAGAAAAATGAAAAGTCTGCTGTCTGCTGCATAGTTCAAGAGGCCAAAGCAGAAGAAATCCTGGAGAAGGGTCTAGAGGTACGGGAGTATGAGTTGAGAAAAAATAACTTCTCAGATACTGGAAACTTTGATTTTGGGATCCAGCAACACATCAATCTGGGTATCAAATATGATCCAAGTGTGGGTCTCTATGGCCTGGACCTCTACGTGGTGCTGAGTAGGCCAGGTTTCAGCATCACAGACAAGAAGCGCAGGACAGGCTGCACTATGGCCAAACACAGAACGAGCAAAGAGGAGGCCATGCACTGGTTCCAGCAGAAGTGTGATGGGATCATGCTTCCTGGCAAATAAATTCCCATTTCTATCCAAAAAGCCAATAAAAAGTTTTCAGGGAAATGTAAAATAAAATAAAATAAGAAGTGGGGAGAGAAATAACAACTGCTGGTTGGGTGTGGTGGCTCGTGCCTGTAATCCCAGCACTTTGGGAGGCCAACGCAGGCTGATCACCTGAGGTCGGGAGTTCGAGACCAGCATGGCCAACATGGTGAAACCCCATCTCTACTAAAAATACAAAATTAGTCGGGCATGGTGGCGGGCACCTGTAGTCCCAGCTACTGGGGAGGCTGAGGCTGGAGAATCACTTGAACCTGGGAGGCAGAGGTTGTAGTGAACCAAGATCGCACCACTGCACTCCAGCCTAGGCAACAGAGCGAGACTCCATCTCAAACAAACAAACCAAAAAAGAAATAACAAGTGTGGGTGAGGATGTGGAAAAATAGACACTTTTGTTGTGTTTGTCCACCTAGGCTGCTATAACAAAGTACAACAGACTGGATGGCTCATAAACAGAAGAAATTCAGCCAGGCACGGGGGCTCATGCCTGTAATCCCAGCACTTTGGGAGGCCAAGGAAGGCGGATCACTTGAGGTCAGAAGTTTGATACCAGCCTAGCCATCTCTACTAAAAATATAAAAATTAGCCAGGCATGGTGGCAGGCGCCTGTAATCCCAGGTCCTCAGAAGACTGAGACAGGAGAATGGCTTGAGGCCAGGAGTTCTAGCCTGGGAGACATAGTAAGACCTCATGTCTACAAAAAAAAAGAGGTAGAGCTTAAGCTGGGTGAAGCGGCTTGTGCCTCTAATCCCAGCTACTTGGGAGGCTGAGAGAGGAGGGCTTGAGCCTGGGAGGCGGAGGCTGCAGTATGGCTTGAACCCGGGAGACGGAGGTTGCAGTGAGCTGAGAGTACACCACTGCACTCCAGCCTGGGCGACAGAGTGAGATCCTGTTTCAAAAAGAAACAACAACAACAAAACCCAGAAATGTATTTCTCATAGTTTTGGACCCTAGAAGTGTGAGATCACGGTGGCCAGCATCGTTCTGGTGAGGGCCTTCTTCTGGGTTGAATACTGTTGACTTCTTATCGTCCCCTCACATGGTGGAGAGAAGGCAAGAATGTTCTCTGGGGTCCCTTTTCTTTCTTTCTTTCTTTCTTTTTGAGATGGAGTCTCACTCTGTCGCCCAGGCTGGAGTACAGTGGCGCGATCTCGGCTCACTGCAAGCTCCGCCTCCCAGGTTCACGCCATTCTCCTGCCTCAGAGTAGCTGGGACTACAGGTGCCTGCCACCACGCCCAGCTAATTTTTGTATTTTTAGTAGAGACAGGGTTTCACCGTGTTAGCCAGGATGGTCTCGATCTCCTGACCTCGTGATCCGCCCGTCTTAGCCTCCCAAAGTGCTGGGATTACAGGCGTGAGCCACAGCGCCCGGCCTCTCTGGGGTCCCTTTTCTAAGCACACTCATCCCACTGATGACGGCTCCACTCACACGGCCTGTTTGCTTCCCGAAGGCCCCACCTCCTAATGCCATCACTTCATGGGTGAGGATCTCAACATATGAATTTGGGGAGGACATGAACATTCAGTCCATTGCACTCATCCATTGCGGCTGGGAGTGGAAAATGGTGCAGCTGCTGTGGGAAACAGTTTGGCAGTTCCTCAAAAAGTTAAACATAGAGTTACCATATGACACAGAAATTCCATTCCTAAAGAACTGAAAGCAGGGACTCAAACAGATCCTTGTTCACCAATGCTCATAGCAGCATTGTTCCCAAGAGCTGAAAGGTGGAAATAAGCCAAATGTTCATCATCAGATGAATGGATAAACAAATTGTGGTCTAGCCATACAATGGAATATTATTCAGCCATAAAAAGGAATGAAGTGCTGGCGCCTGCTGCAACATGGGTGAACCCTGACAACATCACGCTAAGTGAAAGAAGCCAGACACCAAAGGGCACCTACTGTAGATTCCATGTGTCTGAAATGTCCAGAATAGGTAAACGCATAGAGACAGAAAGCAGGATCATGGCTGTCAGCGGCTGGGGGGAGGGAAGATGGGGAGAGATTGCCATATGGGCATGGAGTGATAGGAAAGTGTGAAACTAGGAAGAGGTGGTGGTTGCTCAACATTGTGAATGCACTAAGCTGGGGCTCCCCGCAACCAACAGCCCTAACTGAGCACCCAGCCGGCAGCCAACGACGACTGCCAGCCACGTGGTGAGGCCACTTGAGATCCTCCAGCCATCCCAGCAGCCCCACGTGATGCAGAACTGCCCTCTCACCCCACAGAATCATGAGAAATAAGTGTTGTTGTTTTAAGCCACACAGTTTTGGGGTGATTTATTATGTAGCAAGAGGTAACCAGTTCTACCTGTAAACACTTTACAAAGCCTGTGTCTCTGTTTCTCTCTATCCCCACCACCCTCATCCAAGCTCTCTTCTCCCTCCAGGCAGCAGCTTCCTCCCCAGCATCCCTACCTCCAGTCCAGCCACCTGAGGTCTATCCTTCCCTGCAGCCAAAGGGAACCTTCCAGCTCCTGATCTCATTCTCTCAGCCCTCCACTCAGTATCCAAGCCTTCAGTGTGCCCAGCAAGGCCCTGAGGGACCTGTCTTTCCCCATCTCCACAGTCCCAGTCCCCCTCACCCACACCTCTATCCCCTACAACTCACACTTCCTGGAACTCAGCACATCCCTTCCTTAGCAGAAGCAGTTCCCTCTTCCTACAACACTCTTTCCTATCTCCTCTCTCTTCCCCTGGCTCTTTTTCTTTCAGGCCTCAGCTCAGACACCACCAGCTCCAGGAAGCCTTCCCTGACCACCTGGGCTGAGTTAAGCGCCTCCTCCAGGCACCCGTTTACCCCTGTTCTTACCAGAGCAGTAGCTGCTCTTGCCTTTTATTTTTATTTTATTTTATTTTTTTTGAGATGGAGTTTCATTCTTGTTGCCCAGGCTGGAGTGCAGTGGTGCGATCTCAGCTTACTGCAACCTTGTCTCCTGGGTTCCAGCGATTCTCCTGCCTCAGCCTCTTGAGTAGCTGGGATTACAGGCACCCACCACCATGCCTGACTGATCTTTTATATTTAGTAGAGACAGGGTTTCACCATGTTGGTCAGACTGGTCTTGAACTCCTGACCTCAGGTGATCCACCCACTTCTGCCTCACAAAGTGCTGGGATTACAGGCGTGAACCACTGCTCCTGGCCCACCTTTTTAACAACCTGTCTCTCTCACCACCTAGTGAGCAATATCAGGGCAGGGACAAAGTCCTCTTGTGTTCTCAGAGACTAGTGCAGGCCTGGCACAGTAGGTACTCAGGGAAATCCAGTAGAAGGGAGGTGGAAATTGTGTAACGCAGGCTGGGGACCTCACATCTCATGAGACTGGGACATGAGTGAGGCAGGGCTGTGGGTTTCCCCGAGCCTCTCTTCTCCCAAGAAGGCCCTGGCCACTTGAGAGGCCTGGAGCAGAGGTCAGGGAGGGACCACTGGGGGCTGAAGTCATAAATGTCCAGGCTGAGGGAGTGGAGCCCTCCTCCAAGTGCCCAATGCCTGGGCAGTAACAAGTGAACGACATGTCTATCTCCCCAGTAGAGTGTCCCAGGCCAGGCACAGTGGCTCACACCTGCAATTCCAGCATTTGGGAGGCTGAGGAGGCAGATCACCCAAGCTCAGAAGTTTGAAATCAGCCTGGGAAACATGGAAAAACCCCATCTCTACACAAAATATATTAAAAAAATATATATTAGCCAGGCGTGGTGGTGCATGCCTGTAGTCCCAGCTACTTGGGAGGCTGAGGTGGGAGGATCATCTGAGCCCAGGGAAGTAAAGGCTGCTGTGAGCCTTTGTGTGTGCACCACTGCACTCCAGTCTGGGTAGCAGAGTGAGATTCTGACTCAAAAAAAAAAAAAAAGTATCCCAGCCAGGTGCAGCGGCTCACGCCTGTAATCCCAACGCTTTGGGAGGCCGAGGTGGGCAGATCATGAGGTCAGGAGTTCGAGACCAGCCTGGCCAACATGGTGAAACACCATCTGTACTAAAAATATAAAAAAATTAGCTGGGTGTGGTGGCGGGGGCCTGTAATCCCAGCTACTCGAGAGGCGGAGGCAGGAGAGTTGCTTGAACACAGGAGGCAGAGGCTGCAGTGAGCAGGGATCACCTCACTGCTCTCCAGCCTGGGCAACAGTGTGAGACTCCATCTAAAAAAATTGTCCCGATAAAGAATGTCATGCAGTGGTTACTTCCATGCGCTATGCAGGCAGGCAGACTGGGTTTCAAATCCTAGCTCTGTTGCCCCCCAGCTATGTGACCCTGGAGGAGTGACTTCACCTCTCTGATGTTCACTCTGCTCATCTGTAAAACTGAGAATACAGCCAGGCATGGTGGCTCACGCCTGTAATCCCAGCACTTTGGGAGGCTGAGGCAGGTGGATCGCTTGAGTTCAGGAGTTTGAGACCAGCCTGGCCAACATGGTGAAACCCTGTCTCTACTAAAAGTACAAAATTAGCCGGGCGTGGTAGTGCACGCCTGTAATCCCTGCTACTTGGGAGACTGAGGCAGGAATAATCACTTGAACCTAGGAGGTGGACGTTGCAGTGAGTCAAGATCATGCCACTGTACTCCAGCCTGGGCAACAGAGTGAGCAAGACTCCATCTCAAAAAAAAAAAAAAAAAAATGGTTATGATAATGGTCCCTCATAGGTTATCATGAGAAATACATGACATAACATGTAAAAATCACTTAGCACAGTTGCTGGCACATGGCAGGCTCCCTGAAATGTTAACTAGGTTTCTTCTTTTCACCCTGTGAGCTACTGTGAGCTGGGCCTTGCACTGTGCTTGGCACACAGTAGGGGCTCAAGCAATGCCTTGGGGATGAATGAATAAGGAATCTGGGCCCAGCATAGTGGCTCACACCTGTAATCCCAACACTTTAGGAGGCCGAGGCGGGAAGATCACTTGAGGCCAGGAGTTCAAGACTAGCCTGGGCAACCTAGTGAGAGAGACCTCATCTCTACT